CTGGGGTCCTCTCCATACATGAACTGGACTTTTACAGTGATGTTCCTGGCAGATCCTTGGCGGTTGGCAAAGTTAAGGCTCTGTGGATAGACGTAAAGGAGATTCCTGCAAGACACAAAGGCATCAAGTGATGAGAGGGTTCATACATTTATTAATGCTGTTGTTTAAACCTCTGTGGAAACAGTGAAAATGAAGGCTTTGACTCCTTATTTCAGACATCAAAAGACATAGTTTTTAAACTCTCATCATTTTGAAATAGTTCCTGCTTAGAAAGGCACTTGAAAAACATATAAATTTTCCAGTGATTCTACAATCTCAGAAGTTCAGGTGGAAAGAAAACATGATTATTCATATATAAAACTACTGAAAGGTATTTATTTGCTCAACACAAAGCAGCTGGTTTCTCTTAAATATCCCCCTCTTGTGGCCTGTCCTTTTTTTTCTTTTTTTTTAAAATCACTAGATATCATGGTGACTCCAGGTTACATTTCTCCTCTGAAAATGAATTAAACTAAATGGGTATCTGTAGCTTCAGGTAATGACAACACTCCCAGATATCTAAAGAACTGCTTCAGAGACCAAAGTAATAAAGTGCTCATCACATCCACAGGGAACGTGGCAGGATGTAATGGGAGGAAATTGCAGCACAGGAGATTTAGGATTGACACCAGGGAAAATGTTCTGGCTCTAAGGAGAGTTAAGCAGTAGAACAAATTGCCTGGGAGGGTGTGAAATCTCCATTTTCTGGTAGTTTCTGAGGACAGGTGAGGCAGATACCCCTCCAGATGGGTTTATAGACAAGCCTCCTTCACTGGGCAGGGGACACACTTTGGAAACCCCTTCCAGCTCAGTTTCTTCAAGCCTGTGATTACTTGAACAGCGATGAGATGCAAAATTCTGCAGTATTTTCCATCCTCTGAGCCCTGCTGAGTCTTTGACAAGAAGGTGAAAGTTGGATTCACACTTCATTAGCAAAACTTTCCACTACAAGTCCCCACCTGCCTTATAAGCATATAATTTAGACCTGGAGAAAGTCCCTTACATGTTCTTTTAAAGTAAAAAAGACAACAGCCCCAAAACTTTTCCACTCAACACTTAGTTATACAAAGGAAATGTACCTTCTTTTGCCCCCAAACAAGCCAAAATATATGCATTATTATACACCTTTAAAAAAGCCTGGCAATCCCTAATCCATCTCCCACATAGCCCTGCCCACCCTACCAGCATCATTCCCCCTTGGACATCCTGGCTCCTACAGCTCCAACCACAGGATCCAAGAGGGATGCTCACACTGCCTACTCACTTCATCTGCCAGGGAAAAACAACTGGCACGTTGCATTTTACTCAAACACTGAAGAACCAGCTCTTTAACACCCCTGGTTTGTAAGGCAAGAGGAAAAGGAGGCTCCCTTCCCTGCTGTTCCCCTCTGGGAACTATTCAGTGCATCTGAACACAATTTTTATGTAGTTTCCAACTGTTCCTTGTCCCAGAGAGACAGGAAACAACAGATGGGCACAGAAAAGTGAAGTGAGGAGCACAGCAGGACAACATTTAAGGCATAATAAAGCAGCCACTGTGGAGTGCTGGCAACAGGAGGCTGAAAACAAAGATACCTTTTTTTGGATTCTCAGGAGGGTGGTAACTTAGTGAAGGTACCTGGTCCCTTTTTAGATGCCATGGGTATCCAAAACACATGCACTGGGCTAGAGGTGGGACCCTCTTGGAGGAGCAGCTGGAAAGAGGGTCCCCTAAGCATCCTGCCACATCCTCTAAGCTGTCTGAAATGGCATCAGACATCAATTTTTTGGCCAATGAATCCCACCCAAGGACTTGGTTCCGACAGCAACTCCATTTGCTCCCCGATACCTATGGACAGTCCCATCCATATGGGACTAACACTGGGCTAACGTTGGTCCTACAGAATTCCCTAAGAGCAGGCCAGCCATACAGCTCCAGATGGATATACAGGGCAGGGTTATGAAGCAGGCCCTGCTTCACCCCTCCAGGCACAGGAATATGCTTAGCTGGTGTGTGGGAATTCCTTCCCTCTCAAGTCCTTCATGGTGAATTAAGTTTTTGAATCCCATCCCCACTGGTCACTTTGCCTAATCAACACTCTCATACTATTTCAGAGGGGGCCTGTGCCATTTTTGTGACTCTCCTAAATTACTTTGTTCTGGCATGAATACATTTGCTCCTTGATATTCTTTTTAAAATGAAAATGGGCATGAAAATTTACTCTAAAACGTACCTTGCTCATAAAACTTTTATTAAGTATTATTAGTGCTTAAGAGAAGGATTTAAGGTATTTGTGAAGCCAGGCTACAAGATCCCTAAATTAAAGGCAGGCTTATGCTTGGACTGATTTATGCTGAGCCTAAGCCAAGCTTGCAGTTCTTCTATCAGGGCTTGGCTGTTGGGAGGGAAGGAGACAACTCAGTGGGAGTGGGATCCTTTCCCTCTTGTCATTTCCCTCCAGGCCCTTGTCCAAAGTCCCTCTCCAGCTCTCTTGGAGTCCCTTTAGGCTCTGGAAGGGCTCTAAGTTGTCCCTGGAGCCTTCTCTTCTCCAGGTGAACACCCCCAGCTCTCCCAGCCTGTCTTCTACTCTACATCAGTAAAAGTCACCGATTTTCCTGTCTAAGCACAGTTACAGGAGCCATGGAAAGGGACTGAGGACTGAAACACTGACAGGAACATTAGCAATGTCTTGGTTTCTACCAGTAAAAGTTTCAGCCAGGAGCTCTAAACCCAAGGACTTGTGTCTGGAGCATTTATTAAAATGCTATGCAAAATATATGCAAAGCTTATCCTATTATCTCAAACAGATCTCAAAAGTACTTCTACTTCCATAAAATGAATTGCTACAGTGCAAAGGCTTCCCAAGCCACGGAAATAATGGCACCAGGCACTCCTCTAAATATTTATGTAATATGATTGCAGCCATCTTGCAAAATCCATCATAAAGGTATTAAAACATTAGGAGCTGATCCTAACTCTTAAGAGGGAATTCCTAACTATCATGAAAATTTCCCTTTTCAGTAAAACCCAGAGAGCTTTTGCTTTGCTTTATTCCTACTATAAAAATCATTTAAGGTCCATTTAATCAGGGTCACCCAGGTGCACAAAAGATCTCCAGGATCATGTTTGTTATATACATCTTTCCTTGACTGTGCTAACAGCCCTCAGAGGCAAGATTATCCCCTAGGGTTTCCACAGCTCCTGAATCTTATGGTTTAATCATGCCAGAAGCTTTTCCCCTCTCTGCTTTCCTGTGCCCTGGTTTCCTTATGCACTCTGTGACTGTTGTGACATCTAAAGGTGATATTTTCTAGTGAGCTTTTCACTGCCTGACTTTATTGGCCCCGGAACGGAAACGTGCTTGGCAGCTAATTGAGTTTTTAATATTTGACATCAGAGCATTCTGACTGCCCTTCCTCTTTGGAAAACAAACCTTTCTAAAGGGTAGTGTCACATCTGAGCAGCACCAGCACCTCCTCAAGCTGTAAACCTGGTAAAATGTCTGTTCTCCAGCTGCTATTTTTCAAATAACTTCCTATATTTTTCTAACAACTAAGTCAAGAATAAAGATTTTGGGGGGTGATGGGGTTAGAAAGAATTCAAAACTATTTAAAACAAACTAGAGAAATTTCTGGCAAGAAACAGTTAAAACAACAGAAAAATATTCATTTGAAAACCCCCTAAAACCAAAGCCACATAAGTACTTTGAAGCGAACTGCAGAAATTCTATACTCTGGACAACCTAAATGCTTATCATGCCAGGAAATTCTCATTGAAAAAATTCCCATTCTCCCCAAAGATGGGCCTGATGATCTCCATGCTCCTGCTGGTTTTCTATATTTCAGATATTCCAGTAAGTCTGATCCAATACAAAATATTCTCCAGCAATTAATCTGAGATCTAAAATAGTTTCTCAGTATTTAATTATGAGCGGGGATGTTACCTGTATTATTCTAAACCCTTCAACACACAGGAAGTTCAACATATGAGACAACAACTTCGTTTTTAAAATGTTTTTTTTCTGTGCCTGCTTCATATCATATGTGCATTTGTACATGATCAACCAAAAGTCCAGGGGAAGAATTATTAAACATACAAAAATCTAGCTACCTAAAAGCTCTCCCAAGTACACACTCTATTATGCATGGATTGCTTTTGATTTCTTGGACTGCTACGAGTAATTCCAGAAAGAGAAATACCTTCCAGTCACACTGCAATACTACTCAAAAAACATCCATGTTTCCATGCAGAGACCCACTGCAGAACAGGGTATTTATTTCAGAGCACTTGCAGCCTTGCTTTATGTAGTGTGAATCTTAAACAGCAAAAAAAAGAGGGTAAGGTGAGAAATGTAAGCGAGGTATTATTTATCTCACCCACCTCCGGAAAGCAGCTCTTAAAAAATAAGTTTTATATGGTGTAAATTACTGCACAAACCTTAACATAGTAGAATCATCCAGGCAATCTCTGGACCTAATTCCCTCTTTCTCACTTAATCTGAGCTGGATGACAAGTAAATCCACTGCAGCACAATGAGTTACATCAGAAAACGGTACGAGATGAGAATCAAGTCATGTGAATCATCTGGGAATATTTTGCCCTTCCATAGCTTATCAAGGAGCTGCACAACCTGAACATCCAGTGCTCTTAAGTGTGGTAAATCTTTTCATACTCCCGAGGCAATAAAAGGAATCAAACAACACAAACAAGAAGCAATTTGAGCCCTTATCAAGATTATGACCCAAAATTAATCTATTAGAAAGAGTTGTCCGAAAAACACCACTTCATCAATAACATTTTATAACAGAAGGTCTGGCAGGTGGAAAAGTTCAGAGCCAGTTTAATCAGCAACGTGCCCGTCTCTCAGTTTTATCTTCCCAGATATCAACCTACATCTGTGAGGGGTTATGTTCGTGCACATACACACAGTTTAATGATCAACCCACCGACCGCCTCTTCTGAAATGAAGAGGAGTATAAATAGATCCAATTCTGCAACTCAGAGCAGCCACACGGCGAAAACTATTAGTGGGAAAAAGTCTCTGCATCCTGAATAAGCAAAGAGAAAACATGAAAATCATTCTGGTCCTGCTATTCGTGGCGCCCCTCACTCTTTCAGCAGACAAGGATTATTTCTCCGTTGATTCTGCTGAATCTCCCGAGACCAAATCCAGATTTGCCATGTTGGACGATGTACGAATCCTGGCCAATGGACTACTGCAGCTCGGGCACGGCCTGAAAGACTTTGTCCACAAGACCAAGGGGCAGATGAATGACATCTTTCAAAAACTTTACATTTTTGATAGGTCCTTTTACGAGCTCTCCCTGCAAACCAGCGAGATCAAGGAAGAAGAAGAACAGCTCAGGCAAACCACGGCCAGACTGCAGATCAACAACGAGGAGATAAAGAATCTGTCGCAGGAGATGAATCTGAAGATTGAAGACCTCATTCAAAACAAAATCCAGCTGCAAGAGAAAGTGTGGGGACTGGAGGACAAAGTCACCAAACTGGCCATCATCCAGCCTTTGATGCAAGACACAAAAGAGATTTCTTCACTCAAAGTAAGTGACCTGTGAAAGGCCCTGACACACAGAGCCCGAAGTTCACTCTAATGCCATTATCAATAGTTATGCAAGAGAAGCTCGAGCTTTCCCTTCTCTTCACTGTAGTACTACTCTGTATTTTGAGAAACCACTGCAGTAATCTTAAAAGAATCACTCTCTTAATCTGATATATTGTACATTTTGCAGCAAAATTGCCCAGTGAAATCAATCAGAAATTGTGAAATTAAAAAGCTCTGTATCATTTTCAGTATTTTTGCAAATCAATTTTAGGATATTTTGTTATCACAATGAGAAAAAAGTCTTGCAATTGGGAAAATGATGTGATTCCCAAGCTGATGGGTTGTCATGATCTCATCCCAAATCAGTGAGCTAGGAAGTGCCTGCTGTGTAGAAACAGGGAGTTTAAACCTTTAAAGAGGGGCAGCTACAGAATCCATATATCCTCCAGAATCAAAGAATCTTACAAGTGTTGATAAAATTAATGTTTAGAGAATTATACCTGCGAGTATTTAGGTGGGCATAAGGTTTTCTATGGAAAAGGAAGTGTTAACTGTATTTTGCAGAAGCATAAAAAGTCTAAGAACTTAGAGAACTACTTAAGAGAAAATACAGGATGTTTGTGTCAAAGCAGATGAAGCCCAATCTCCCAAATCCCAAACTAATACCCTAAATGCTGGGAATTGTTCCCTTTTTTGGTCAGTGACACATATTTAGTTTGAATCAAGGGCCAACTCCACAGAACATAAATTGTGCTGGATGTGAAAATGGAAGGAAAGCAACAACAAAAATGGTCTAAAAAGTGGTTTGTTGGGTGTTTATTTCAGAAGGAAAGAAATTTGCCCCTTTAGAGGCAAAGCAGACATCCCTTTGAAGCTTCACTTTGATGATTCTTGTGGGTCCCTTCCAACTCAGGATATTCTACAATTCTCTGGAAAAGGAAGGGCAATGAACAATAGTTTGTGCCTCTCAAAACTGGCCCCTTGACAAGAGTTACAGAGGCAGCACCACTGTGAAGGTCTTCTGCTGCTCCTAACCACAACTTCCCTCCCCTCCTGCCCTCAGGCTTTTGTGGAGCAGCAGGATAATGACATCAAGCAGCTTCTCAAAACCGTCGAGGACCAGCACCTGCAGCTTGACAGGCAGCACAACCAAATCATGGAGCTGGAGGACAAGGTACAGGAACCATCTCTGCTCCTCCTTTCACCTCTCCTAACACTGAAGGAGTTGAGGGCCTCATTCAGTTTGGGAGTGCAGAGGAGAGTGCCCATTCAGGTGCGAGGTGCTGTACTATGGCCAAGAACAGCTTTGAGACATTGTCTCTCAACACTAGGCTGCTGCATTTTGTGATTGCTAATTTTCTTATCTTATTATCTATCATATTATTGTTCTTCAATTGGTCTTGAAGTCTCATTACTTTCTACCTCTTTCTCCTTTTCCAATATCCCCTCCCAGAGGGAGCCACGTTCTGCAGTTCACATGTCACCATAACACTGGGTATAAAAGACAAGGCCATATTTAATTTATTCCCAAGAGGAGGCTATGAAAGGAAAATGCATTTCAGCCCAAGGAACTGTGGGTTCTGTGCTCTTTAGATGTTGGTATTACTTGTGTAAGTGATGTCACCTGAGGAAATAAGTTAAATCTGTTTGCCCATTAAGGTGCACCTCATGAGAGTGGTTCATTTACTCACCTCATGAATCCTCCCTTGTCTGAGCAGTGGTGCAGATGATATTCATGCACCTGAAATCCACCAGCATGGCGCTAAAGTTATTTTTATGTGGTAAACTTGGTATTCTAAAGGTATTCACAAAATAATTATTCTCAGCACGGTATTACTCAGCTTGATCCACGAATCTCATCAATTCAGAGCCTCGGGAAATTAAGTGTAATTATGATTCTTTCAGCTAAACCACATAGAGTTCCAGGAACTCACAGAGAACTCCTTCACGGAGGAGCAACCAGAACCAGAGACCAAGCCCATTCCTGTGCTCAAAGCCACAGCTGGAAGATACAGATCTGATGGTGAGACCTCATCTCTCAGACATGACTACACCACACGCTGCAATCACAGTATCCTCTGTGAAAGTTCTGAGTTGGTATTTAAGTCAAAGAAGAGTAAAAGACTTCCATGTTATACACAGGGGTGTGGGAAGGAGTTACATTCCTTGCTTTGGAAAAAATACCATCACCTACTTAGCATCACTACAGGTGTACTTGTCTCTGGGGTGACACATGAGAACAATGTCCAATAATGCAGCAATCCTGTCCTCAGGATCCACTCACCTCTTGTAAATATGTGCTGTGGCCATCCTTTAACCTGTGTCTGTGTTGCAGAGTATGATCAGAGAACTAATTTACTTCACACTGTCTAATTATAAGATTCAGAAGAGCTTTCTATATAGTTGAAAGGCATTGGTGAAGCCCAGCAGAGAAAATGGTATTTATTGGGAACTTTACACAGGGTAGAAAGTCCATTTGTCAGAGTCCAGTCTTCAGCCTTAAAAACTTCCCAAAAGTCTCCAAACTGAAACCTTGCCTATCTTAAAAAATACGGGTAGTTCAACCTATGTACAACTTGGCAGCAGCACTACTATGCCCAAAGCATCTGCCCATTTCATGACACTTATTATAAAACAAAATTCCCAATATGATAATTCTACTTTCTTTTTTTTTGACTCTCAACTTACCACACCCAAATCAGGATTTCTAAATGCCTGCTGTTTGCTTTCCCAGGTGCTGCTCCTGACTGCACTGCTCTCTATCACAGGGGTGAGCGGTTCAGTGGTGTTTACACCATTAAGCCCAATGGCTCAGAAGCCTTTGATGTCTACTGTGAAATGAAATTTGGTAAGAGCTGTGCCAACAATAGTCGTATTTTCACATAAGTAGCCTCTTATAAGCCAAACAATTGTGTCTCATCACAAAGTACACAAAAACTTGATTTATGTATCCTCTTGAACTTCTCTTACTGGCCTGTCTGTGCTCTGAACTCAGATTTTCCATATCCTGAAATCTCCTTAACACTGCTTTCATTCTTTACTCACCTTGCTCACCTTTGGCTTACACCAAGGAAAGGACTCTCAATCATAGGACATCAATTCAGTATATCAAAAGAACAAGCCACTTTAGCTACAGACAATGAAAACGGTAATTATAAAAGCCATTATATGGCAACCATTAACAGATTTCCCAAAGAAAAGCAAACATTGTTTGGATGTGTAAATAGATCTGCATGGGGTTGCCTGTGCAAAAAGCTCCTTTGCTTACATTGGTTGAAACTGGTGAAACGAGGGTGTCATGACCAGGTCAGGAGAAAGTCCCCACTGCAGCTCCAGTGGCACTTCATCCCTCCTCCAGAGCTGTCCCAGCAGCCAAGCACTATCACCAGAGTGAGTCTGACAATCTGATCCAACATCTAGAGCTTCTCATATCTCTTTTTTATCATTTTCTCTGTCTATCAGCCCTCACAAACAAAAATGAAACCCACTTAAGGCAGCCTATCAAAGTCAGTCCGGTGAGCTGAGTCACCACGAGTGTGGTGAGGAAACTCAAACAGCCCCACGTTCTTTTCAGCTGGGCTCACTTGAATTCCCTTCATGAAGATTTTAACTGAATCATTCTACCTCAAAACTGGAGCACTCAAGAGCACACTCATGGACAGGCTCATAAGGCCAAGTTGTGACTCATTTCCCCTTTTCACAGGCACCTCCTGGACTGTAATCCAGAAGAGAGTGGATGGATCACTGGATTTCAACCAAACCTGGGATGCCTACACAAAGGGTTTCGGTGACCTCAACGGTAAATATGCCCTTTTTTGTGTCTTTGTATCAATTGATTTGAGAAGCTGAATCTTCTTATGGAGAGGTGTTCACATGAGGGCAGGCAAAACCTGCAATCAAATCTGAACAGGTGGCTGATTCAGCAGAGTACCACAAAGCGCTTACCAGAGCATATAACTCAGTAAAATTCTCAAAGACACCCCTTCAAATGCGTGTTTAGAAACTGAATCAAGGCCAGAATGATTTAAATGCTCTTTTATCAAGATTTTACTATTGATAAAAGCATCACCCAAAGCCTTTAAAATATACACAAATGCAAAACCTCACAAAGCTTTTGTCACCACTTTCAACCTCTGCAATCCTGTTCCCCATAAACCATCACAAGAATTTTTCCAACTTCACGAGAGCCGAATGCTGTGCGTGCTCCCCTGAGCAAACACCTCTGGCTCCTCTGTGCAGTGGCCAATCCCCTCCATGGTGGGATAGGGTGAGGAAACACCCACATTCCCCTGTTAATCATCAACTCCAAAGAATCTGTAGCACCAAAAGCTGCCCAAAAACAGCTCTTTGCCCATCCAAAGTATTTTCCTTATTTATCTCACACAATTAGATGAGTCTCCCTTTGTTTAGAAAACATTTTTACTTTCTAGGCACAGCACAATATAAGTCTCCTCAAGGTGGGCAGCAATATTGACTTATTTCCACATCTTTTACAATAAAAAGCTGCTGTATCTCAACCTTTGCCTCAACTCTGGGACAGTAACTCCCAACTGAGGTAGATTTTCACCTGTAAAGTTTTACTGATCATATGGAAAGCTGTAATTGCTCCTTAAGTAGTCTCCAATTCACAAATATTACACCAAGATTAAGCCACATCTTTTCAGTGTCCGGTTTTGCAATGCCCTCAGTCCTACTCAGTGCATGTCCTGAGGTGATCAAATATACCAGGTTACTGCTACTAACTTGCAAATGGTGGGAGTATTTTACTCGATCATCTCATCTCCTATGACACCGAATGCCAGCTGAACACATGGCACTCACATTCAGCCACACTTTCTACACGTGGCATTTACCTGCACTGATAATCAGCTGCTTAATGAATATAATATATGAAACTAATTAAACTAATTTCCAAGGATTCCAGTAAAAGAAAAATTCCCTTTTCACACAAGGGGACCCAAGTTTAGTTCTGCCGCTCTTTCCTTAGAAAATGCAAAAACTGCCATTAGGTTTTATGAATGTCATTTGCTTCATTTGTCACACAGTTCCAATTACACGTTTTAAATGTCTCCAGCTCCCTCTCAAAGTTTCACATGAGGTGGGAAAGTTAAAGAGAGAAGCTCCAGTTTCATTTATATCGCTTGCTTTTATTGATCATTGGTGTGCAATTAAACAGAGGTAAACAAAAAGAATGTAGCAGCAGACCTCTGCAAAGATCAACAGTCCCCAAGACTCAAATTATTGATTTAATTAAAGCAATTAATAAATCCTTTTAAATACTATTTTCACACGTGCTACCAATAGGTTATCTGTAAAAGCAAATTCAACAGCAGTGTGAAAAATGTGGATTTTTATGGAAAGTTTATCACACAACCCCTTCCCCACAAACTTCTGTCCCTTGTCCTCACCTCTGACACCTCCCAATTCTGCCCCTGTGCAGATTACTTGAACACATATTTTCAAATATTTATATTTGAAAGGTGAACAGGCTGAGGGATGGGTTAAAGATCTGAAATACATGGCGTGTTCATGCCTAATTCCACATTAACAACATTTATTTACTCCAACTTTGCAGAGGAATTCTGGCTGGGCCTGAACAAGACCTACTCCATCACGAAACAAGGAGATTACATCCTACGGATTGAGCTGCAGGACTGGAAAGGAAACAAACGTCACATCGAGTACTTGTTCAGCCTGGGAGGCCCTGACACCAACTACACCCTCCAGCTTTCCCGGATCTCCGGGAGCATTCCCAACGCCCTCCCAGAGCAGACAGAGCTGCAGTTCTCGACTGCAGACCGGGATGTGGACACAAAACATGACTCCAACTGCCCAGAAAACTTCCTAGGTATCAGTATGCTGGGAATATTAATAGAGGAATTGTTCTGTTGCATGAATCATAGGATCATGGAATCCTGGAATGGTTTGGGTTGGAAGGGACGTAAAGTTCACCTAATCCACACCCCTGCCATGGGAAGGGACACCTTCCACTAGACCAGGTTGCTCCAAGCTTCATCCAACCTGGCCTTGAACACCTGCAGGGATGGGGCAGCCACAGCTTCTCTGGGCAACCTGTGCCAGGGCCTCACCACCCTCACAGGGAAGAAATTCTTCCCACAATCCCATCTAACCCTGCCCTCCTGGGTAAATGACCAACATCAGAAACAGAATAGGCAGCCAGCATGGGTTGAAATAAAACCCCAGGACGAGATCCTGAGCTATGAAGCCAGTGGCAGTCCCTGCTCTGATGCTTGGTCTGGTGTGGCAGCCCTAGGTGGGATTGTTTAATCCCTTCTTGCAAAAAAACACTGAAGACAAACTGACTCTTAACTCCATTTTAACTACAACCCAAAAGTTAAGAATGACAGTGAGGTTCCATTTAAATGTAGATATTAGTTGTTTGTCAAGTATACATAATATAATCACTTGCAAAAGAGCAAGAGATGCAAGGCTGAGGCCATTTCTCCCTAGAGATAATTTACTTAAAGGGTTCTTAATGCTTTGGTTTTCTAGAGCTTTTATGTTTGTCAGTTTACAGCAAAGAGCAAACAATTGAAAAAACAATTAAATGATTAAATCATGGGATACAGAATTGCCCTCCAGGCACCTGCTTCATGCAACAAACATTTTGTACATCCTCCTAGGCTTGAAAATTGTGAATGTTTGAAAGAATGCCCAGTGTCACTCAGCTCATGGGTTAAGTTTTGGGTCCCCAGCAAGGGACCCAAGAAAGACACTGAGGGGCTGGAGCACATCCAGAGAAGGGAACAGAGCTGAGAAAGGGTCTGGAGCACCAGAAGCAGCTGACGGAGCTGGGGGGGGCTCAGCCTGGAGAAAAGGAGGCTCAGGGGGGACCTTCTGCTCTCTGCAACTCCCTGACAGGAGGGTGGAGCCAGAGGGGATCAGGTTCTGCTCCCAGGGAACAAGGGACAGGACAAGGGGAAATGGCCTCAAGTTACATTAGGAGAGACTTAGATTGATATGAGGGAAAATTCCTTCATGGAAAGGGTTATCCAGCCGTGGCACAGCTGCCCAGGGCAGTGGTGGGAGCCCCATCCCTGGAGAGATTTAAAAGGCTGTGGATGTGGCACGTGGGGACAGGGGTTAGTGGTGGCCTTGGCAGTGCTGGGGGTATGGTTGGAATCAGTGACTTTAGAGGACTTTCCCAACTTGAATGGTTCTACCATCTGGGTATCCTGGGTAATCGTCAATTTTAGAGTCTAAAGCAGATTTATGCTGCAAACAGGAGCTGTTCCTCAAACGGAGCAGTGTGTCAGAGTACAAGTGGCAGTAACTCACATTCCCACGTTGTTCCTTAGGAGGCTGGTGGCACAGTGAGTGTGAGGAAACCAACCTGAACGGCAAATACGTCACGCCAAGGTCCAGGGCAAGACTAGACAGAAGAAAAGGCCTGTACTGGAAGCCTAAGAAAGGAAGATACTACTTGCTCAAGTCAACTAAAATAATGATACACCCAACAGATTTAAAAAGCTTTGACTGAGGGTTCGACCTGATGCATTTTAATTCAGAACATACTCACTGAACTTCACCACATCAAAGGACTCCATGTTTTGTTTACTAACAGATGCCTCTCAATCCATACCCTCTATGGAGTCTCCTCCAATACATAAACCTGAGGCATCTGAGATGGTCTTACAGTACATTTGGTGAGTACTTTTATTGCCTCAAGCCTCAATGTCAACGTGGAGCTTTTACCTCCCCAGGATGAATTCTAATGCTTAGGAGTCAACCACCTACTCATGTATTGGAAAACATTGCTTGGGGGAATGGGTTTTCAGGCTGTTGCATTTGGTTTTGGGTTGTGTAGTAGGGAAAACAAGAAGTGTTTCAGGAAACAAAGTGCAGGCACAATGGTATGGAAAAACTTTTAGGTGTTAATTTATAGGGGAAAAAAAGAAATTTTGTTTCTTCAAGTAACTAATTTGATGTTCGGTTCATTTTACTGTTGTGGAATGTTTCTGTCAGCAAATGGAAGATGGGTAATTCCCTGTGGTTGGGCTCTGTGTATTTCCAGGCAAGTTTTCAGCAGTGTAGCTGAGGCAAATCATCTCTGGAGCACTGTACTCACACAGCTATAGGTGTGTGCACACACATCAGTGAGCCAGAGCACAGACCTGATCTTTTAGATACCACACTGAAAAATAACTTCACAACTATGGTTTGTTAAGAACTAAACTTCAAAGCTTACTGAAATGAGTAAGAGATCTGTTCTTCTCATGTGAAATGAATCAGAGCCAACCCTTTGTGACTTTTTAGTACAACCAACTAAGAAACAAAATGAAAGACCAAGTGAGAACACAACAAAACGCCTTTCAAACAGAGAACAGCTGCCTGTGGGGCAACTCCAGTGGGGCCAGTGGTACCAAACCCACAACCCACGTAGGCACAGCCCACGTGACAGTGTTGGTCCAGCTCCTGAGGACATTTCCATGTTCAACTTCAGCTGCGGGACACTCTAAGGATCACTGCCACACTTGGGGCTGGCTGGCCCTGGAAGTGCTGAGGGATCCAGACCCCAATTCTGCAGTTACAGTGAGTCATATTGACTTGTTTATCTCACTCAACTCTTGTACAGTATGGATTTTTTATCTCAACATTTGCAACCACACAGAAAATGGGTTTAAATTGTAATTTTCCAGAGCAAATCAACCGTGAACAGAATGTGCTAATTACAGAAACAGTGCAAAGAATACTTTTACTTCTCATGGATTTATTATAAAGAAGAGATCAAGCAGTGCTGCTTATTTGTACTGGTGTACTGTAACGTTTAATTACCTGTCCAATAAATAAATAAACAGAACTTTTCAAAAGACACAATATGGAACTTGACTAAACTCTTCTTATAAGCTCTGGTTTATAAAAATTTGGATTGTATCTAAATTTTACGAAAAGAAATAATGGATTTGGTAAGTTGGTGAAACTACTCAGCTGAAATTACTCAGATATGTAATGTTTTCAAAGATACTGTGAAAAGCTTTAAATTAACAATGAACAGAAATCTGCTCCCTCTCTGGTCTTAGTTATAGAAAGATTGTTGTTTTTCAAGATATTCAGAAAAATTTCTTATCTTCCAAAGATTTTTTTCAAGCACTGTAAACAAATAAATTGCTTTTAAATCAAAATGGTAATATGAATGAAGGCATTATGCATTTTATCATTTTCCCTTTTAAAAGGAAAAAAGTCACTGAAAGTGTCAGAAAGTAATAAAACCAGTAGCAGAAAGTTGACTTCAGCAGATAGACAAAGGACAAATCCTACATAAAACCAAAAAGAAAACAACTAAATTCCACCTCAAATTCTGAGAAATGGTGAAATCTCTCACCAAGCTCTTATTCACAGCCAACTTTGCTGCAAATATGTTTGTCCCTTCACAACTGTGTACATTCTGCTGTGTCACTCTGAACCCTCTTAGTGCCTCTGGCACAGCAGATCTACCCAGACATCAAATTTTGCAACGACCCAGGCGATAAGGTAGGAATTCCAGACTTGCCAGTCTGAGGTCCTGAAATGTGAAATGTATTTCAAAACTCTGACCTGTATGTGGTATTTGGAACGTAGACATCCCTGGCAGGAAACTCCAGGATTTCTCTTGTAGGTCTGACTCTGCTGTCTGGGTAAAGCTTGACTTGCAGCAGTTCTGGGGTGAGACAGTAGTGGGGGTTCTCTGGGGCTGGAGATATGTCTATCTTTAATTGAGCTGTAAGGAGAAAATTATTTTATTACAATAAACAGAAATTAATTTGAACCAAAAAAAGCATCATCATGCTTTCCTTCTTCAGATTAATATACTACATATTAATTCAATAAATAAACAAATGATAAATTACAGCCAATGTGGATTTGTTAAGAACAAATATCAGTGAGTCAAACTGATATCTAGGGCAACTGGGGGACCAGACAATAAGAACCAACAGAAAATATGTATCATAACAAGTCAGAGATGATTTTTTTCATAGGCAAACTGGGGAAATACTGTGTAGATAATGCTCCTGTGAGGCCCAATTATTCCTACAGACGGAGGAAGGTTACTGAGGAAGGGTTAAAAAACTCTGGGACTTGTGAGGCTAAAAAACAGAGGTGAACAGGGTAAACTAAAAACAGTATTCAAGTGCTTGAAAGGTTGTGATCACTGCCCTGAGGCCATGGCAGACCACAATCACCTTAATTTGCAGCAAGATCATTTTGCCAAGTTTTCTTAATGCCTAACCTGAGTGCAAGGACAGCTGAGTGCTGGGGACATGATCCAAGGAAGCAGCAGGATTGCTGTCACTGGAGATTTTTAAGAACAGGTTAAGCAAATATTGTCAGGAATAGCACAGGTCAGAGACCAGTTTCACTGCTGGTGTGCAAGTGTTTCTGTTTCCCTTTCTCAAACAGAGGTGGAGTCTGTTCCTATTAACCTAGGAGAGGAATCTCCTCTTGGATAGAGAGTGGAAAACAGGGTTCCTCAGTCCCTGTTGGGTTTTGGGCACTGGGATTTGCATCCTCTTCTCACAGTTACTACTCTCAGAGTGACAGGAGCTGCATGTGCAGCTGTACCAATGAGAAACCTGCCAAAATGCACCTTTAGTGCTCCTGGTCTGCCATGGATTGGTGTCAATGACTTCTTCAGGGTTCCTGGGTGAGAACACCCAAGAACTGAGGGCAGCTGGGAAAGATTAACCAAATACCTTAACATGTGACCCAAAAAGACCCCCTTTGATACCTGTGATGGGTCTCAATCTCCGTAGCACCGATGACGGGCGTCTCATGTCAGCCAGGAACTTGTACAGATCCTCATCACTCAGGCGATCCCCCTCCTGTTGGGGTAGGAAGAATCTGGTCATCTAAACAACCCACCAGAACGGCCAGAGAGTGAATAAACCATCTCACACTATACTTTCTTTCCTCTGACATCAAAATGTACCTTCCCGGAACAAGGTGCTAACATTAACATGTTAAATTACACTTCATTTCTCTATCCTTTTCCCTTCCTTTATCCTTTATTAATCATCATGACAGCTACAGGGACTTTTAATTGAAAACCTTTTCTCTCCCCATCAATATTATCTTTTTCAAAACTGAAAATGGCTGTGAAAAGATTTCCCCAAAAATATCCATTTTTTTTAGAAAGTATAATAGTTTGAAAAAGTATCTGTCATTCAGGTAGTGAGCCTCATTCCTTCTCCTCTGCCCTTCCTTTGGGGTGAGTCTAAATGATCTTTACTTTCCAGGAGAAGTGTTAAGAAACAGTGGGAAGTGGAAGGAGTGTAGTCAGACTTCCTTGTACCACATTCTAGTAGCTCAGAGTTTTGTTAATTTTGCAAACACTACAGAAAATGTGGCTCTGCCACCCTTTAACTGTCCCAGAGCAGAAACTATCTGCTAATAAAGGTAATAAATCACAATATGAAAAAGAAAACAAATGGAAGGATAAAAACAATGGGTAGTATTCAACTAATTAGATTAAAGAGAAGAAAAAGAAGATAAGAATCAGAAATTTAAAATCTTAAACTTTGGCAGTTTTTAAAGGGCAAATTAATATAGCAAGCTGATTCAAAGCTGTCAAGAGAAAACAACCTCAACAAAGTAAATAAACATATGCTTTTTTAAATCAGGTCAGGGGAAAGGCTGCGTTAGCAACGTTGTAATGCCTTTTTTTGCCTTATTTTTTTTTCATTGCAGAACTGGATTTTATTAATCCCCCAAGTAAAAGGAGCTTCCAGTGCTGTTCTGTCACTGACACAGAGCCCTATTTCACTCCTACTGACAGGGAGCAGTAGAGGCAGGAGCCACCCTCACAAGCTCTGCAGCAGTATGACCTGATGCCCCTGATGACATTTCTCCTTATCATTACTGTATTTAAGACCAGACTTTGGATGGCTCCCCACAGTGCAAGTGGCACATAACCAAAACAATCAGGGGAAAAAAAGGAGAAAAAAAGCCAACTTTCAATGGATAGAACCCAAATCTTTGTTTTCTCAACAAGCAAGAAATCAGACCAAAAAGCATCTGCTTGGTCACTGTAAAATCTGACTTTATACACAAAGGTGACATTGAAATAAGTTTTCTTAACAAGATGTGGCACTAAGCAAATCTTATAAAATGGTTTCAGCTCATTACTTTTTGCTAAGCTTAACTAAAAATTTTATTCCATTTAATCTTGTTTTCTGCCTCTTATTGGGACATTCCCAAGCTCTGGCTAAGAAGAGCTGCCACTCAGCAAAGCAGCATCAAAAGCAGAACGCTTTGGTTTCTCAGGAATCCCTGGATGTGCCCAGGGAACTGATGCCAACCTCAAATTACATTGAGGAACCGGGTTCTGAGCCTGCTGATGTTTCAATCACCCAGTGAAACCAAAGGAACCAACTCACTATCACAGAATGGTTTGCATTGGAAGGGACAGCCCATCTCGTTCCACCCCCGCCATGGGCTGGGACATCTTCCACTAGACCAGGTTGCTCCAAGCCCCATTCAGCCAGCGACTTTTCCAATGCATGTTAAAAAAATTTGGAGCAAGAAAAAGTGATGTTCTTCTGTGAAGACTCAGCTCTGTTAACTGGAGTGGTTAAGTCACTAAGCCATAATGATGCTTTAGCATTCAAGTCAAAAGCAACCAATAATTTCAAGTTCCACAACATAATTATTCACAAATTTATTGAAAGAATCCACCACTGGCAGAATTCATGATATACTATTATATAACTGGAAGAGAGTAGGCTACTGGGCAGAAATATTTGTGAGGGCAGTGAGGCCCAGAGAAGCTGTGGCTGCCCCATCCCTGGAAGTGTCCAAGGCCAGGTTGGATTGGGGCTGGAGCAACCTGGGACAGTAGAAGGTGTCCCTGTCCATGGCAGGCGGTTCGAATGAGATGAGCTTTAAGGCTGCTTCAACACAAATAATTCTGT